TCCTCCAAAAAACCAGACCTCTTGAGAAAGGTGTTCATTGTTGTCTATCACTTTTCCTCCAGGGAAAAACAAAAGGATGTTAGCAAGGATGCCAAACACAGTGAGGGGAATGAGGGTGGCCCCCAGGCACTTGGCACACCCTCCGGTGCACATGCTGGGGAAGGAGAAAAATGTTCCTCACTGCCTCCTTCACGGGGTCTCTTCAAAGTTATGAGCCAGAGCGTCCTAGTCAATGTCCCAGTTCAATTTGTATGTTGGAGCTGAGAAGCCAGCCAACCTGGGAACTGTGCCCTGGTGTTGCTTCCACTTCTCAAATAGAGCAGAACCTCGATGCTGATGGCTATTTATACCTTCTCCCTGACCTGGAGTCCTGGGTGTTTTTTTGTGCTCCCATAAATGAGATTATGTTTAGAGCAATCATTTAGTCATGGAAACCAATAACCTCTGTTAATAATCCACCGGTGCAGACAAGACACTCACATTGTTGCAATCGAGCACAGGGCTGAAACAAACAGCCTTTGGAACTACCCACCTTTCCTCTGACAGTGCCTCTGTCCAAATAAAGAAATATTCTCCCAGCTCTTTTATAAATCACTGGAAAATTGAATCACCTCCTAGCTAACTTCATATCCCCAAAGTAGTCAATAATGGACAGTGTGTGAAAGGCTGAATGTAAGGTTATCCAGAACTTGTTTTCTTCAATATAAAAGTGAGAATTCAATGGTCCAGTCAGGTGTCACTGACCTCAGGCCTACAGGATTAAAAAAAAAATCAGTGTAACTATTTGTCTCATTGCCTGATTGCTGTATTTCTATACTTGCTACTGAGTTAAGATCCACCTCCTTCCTTACCTGAGATGGTAGAATTAGAAAAAAGTTTTCCCGATCATCTTGTTTAGCTACATCTTCCTTGCAGGAAGAAAAAACTCTACCTTTAAGGGGAAAGAAGGTTGGCGATGGATAGAGGAGAGGACACTGGTGAGTAGACTGGAGGCAGAACGGGCAAAGTTGGAAGAGCAGGTAGAGAATGAAGGAAGGTGGCAGTAAAATGGACCTTTATGGAAACTGCCAGTGGCCAGGGGCAAGATTCAGTTACTAATTTGTGATACTTTGTGTCTCTGAAGAAGGTCTCTGTCATGCTTAGACTAAGCCCTATGTTATGCAATGACTTGTTTGGTACTGGTGTTATGAAGAACTATGGGGTTGAAAAGGGAGCCTACTATCTCTTCTTTGAAAGTCTATAGTTTAGAATAAAGAACAATAGGTAGAACTTTATAGAAAGTTTAGTTTTAGATAAATAAAAAGTATCATTATCATAATCATGGCAAGTCCTGTCCTACAATGGAGTTGGCTACTCCTCCCCGGGAAGCAGTGAGCTGCATTCTGCCAAGGCTCAGGGACCCTTGGCCAGGGAAGCTGTGGGCCAGATTCTAGAGAGGTCAGTTTTGATGGATGCTGAGTTTCCTTCTAAAGATTCTATGAAATATGTACTGATTGCTCTATAAGAGATACTTTTGGAAAACTCAGATTTGGAGTGAGAAGAAAAACAGCAAATGTTTATTGAGCATACATAATAAACTGAGTACAAAGGAGCACTCTAACTGCCCCTCACTCTCCTGTGAAGAAGGTATCATTTCTTCTGTGCAGGTAAAGACACTCCAGCTCAGACAGGCTAAGTATGTTATCCAAAGTCATTCCAGCATAAGGGAGAGCTTAAATTTTAAATCAAGACTGTCACTAAAACCCAGGCTATAGTCTGGTGGTGAGATTAATAGACTTTCCCTTTTAGAAATAAAAAAATCATCTTTTCAATAGAATGACACTATGTTTACAGTACCTGGACACAGAGAAACATACTTTTTTCTGAAGAACAAACAATTGTGATATTTTGTGATATTTTTCTTATTATAACATATAATAATATGGCTAATCAGCATGATATGCAAATTAACTGCCAACAAAGATGGCGGCTAATTTGCATACTGGAGACAGGGCGGGACAGCACCATCCAGCCTGCCCTGCTGCCATCTGGGCCTACTATCTATGACCCAGGGCTGCCAGGCGGGGCAGCAGTGATCAGCCGGCCCATGCAGGCATCCTGTGTGTGACCCGCACGGGGCAGCGCCCCAACCCCCGGATTGGCCCCGCCGTGTGTGCGAGCTGGGGAGGCAGAGTAGGCACCGAGGGATTGGGCCTGCCATCTGACACCTGGGGGGGCAGTCCTAAGCCAGCAGGTGGTTATCTCCTGAGGGTCCCAGACTGTGAGAGGGCACAAGTGGGGCTAAGGGACACCCTCCACCCCCTCCCCTGCCAGTGCACAAATTTTTGTGCACTCGGGGGGACGTGGGGGGTCCCTCAGCCTGGCCTGTGCCCTCTCGCAGTCTGGGACCACTCAGGAGATAAGGGGTGGCAGAAGGCAGGCCCAATCCCTAGGTGCAGCCCCTGGTTGGGCTCAGAGCAGGGCCGATTGGGGAGTTGGGGCGCCACCCCCTGTCATGCACAGAGCAGGGCCAATCAGGGGGTTGGGGCACTTCCCCCTGTCACACACAGAGCATGGCCCATCGGGGGGTTGGGGCTCCTTACATTGTCACACACATAGCAGGGTCGATCAGGGTTTGGGGAGCTCCCCCCTGTCACACACAGAGGAGGGCCCATTAGGGGGTTGGGGAGCTCCCCCTGTCATGCACATAGCAGGGCCCATCAGGGGGTTGAGGAGCTCCCCCCTGTCACTCATAGAGTAGGGTCACTAGGGGAGTTGGGGCACTGCCCCCTGTCACACACAGAGCAGGGCGGATCAGGGGGTTGGGGCGCCACCCTCTATCACCCACAGAGCAGGGCCGATCAGGGGGTTGGGGCGCCACCACTGTCACACTCAGGGCAGGGCCGATGGGGAGGTTATGGCTCTACCCTGTCACACACAGAGCAGGGCCCATGGGGAGGGTGTTGGGGTGCTGCACCCTGTCACACAGAGAGCTGCAAGGTGATCAGGGCGTTGGGGAGCTCCACCGTATCAGGCACAGAGCAGGGTGGATAGGGAGGTTGTGGCCCCACCCCCTGTTACACACAGAGCTGCAGGGCGATCAGGGGGTTGGGGCGCTGCCCCCTGTCATGCTGATCCAGTGCCAGGAGGCTTTGCAGCTCTGCTGATCCTGGTGCTGGCGGGCATATTACCCTTTTACTATATAGGATAGAGGCCTGGTGCATGGGTGGGGGTTGGCTGGTTTGCCCTGAAGGGTGTCCTGGATCAGGGTGGGTGTACCCACTGGGGTGCCTGGCCAGCCTGGGTGAGGGGATGATGGCTGTTTGCAGCTGGTCACACACCCTTCAGGGTGGGGGTCCCCACTGGGGTGCCTGGCCAGTCTGGGTGCGGGGCTGAGGGCTGAAGCTCCCAACTGCTCATTTTTTTCTTTTTTTTAAATTCTGGGCCAGCTTTAGCTCTGGCTCCAGCTCTGAGGCCTCTGCTGCTGAAAGCAGGTATCTGGTTTGTTTGGGTTCTATAATCAAAACACTGTATAACTCCAGCTCTGAGCTCCTGGCTCGCTGAAAGCAAGTTTCTGGGGTTTTGTTTAGCTTCTATATTTGTTACAATGTTTCAAACTACAGGCTCAGAGGCCGGCCAGGCAGGCAGAGAACGTTGCTTTCCTCTGTCAGTGAAGCAAGCAAGCCTCATTTTAGTTTCAAGCTACCTGGCTGCCGGCTGCCATCTTGGTTGGCAGTTAATTTGCATATCTCCCTGATTAGCCAATGGGAAGGGTAGCGGTCGTATGCCAATTACCATGTTTCTCTTTTATTAGATAGGATATGGGAATTTTTTTTTTGTAGAAAAGCCAGCTATACAGAAAAGCATATGGAAGGAATGAAAACACAGCTGTGTTCCCACCACCAGCAGATAAGATCTGTTATTATTTTTCTGACAGTTGTTTCCAACACTCCAAGCAGATGCTAATGAGCTGTATTTATAACCCACCAGCTTTGTTGGGGAGTCTGGGGAGTCCCTTGGAGGAAGACAAAGGTTCTAGGGATGTAATGGTGGAGTTAACCATGGGAGATACCACCTTGGACAAGGCAGCTCCCCTTTTTTCTCCATCTAGAAGTTACTACAATGGCATTTGAATAACACTGGTCAACACATAGCCTAGATGTCCTAGACTTTTTAGAAAAAAAGTTGGAAATCTATACTATCTGAGTGAATGGATAAAAGTAAAGGACATGGTGAACCAGTCAGTTTTCTCCCAGGCTTTTTAAGATGATGTGGAATGTGAGTAACTGTGAAGGAGAGGCCCTAGGTCATTTATTTCCTGTGTGAAGAAGCATCGAAAGACAGTCACCCTTCTGAGACTTGAAACACTTGATGGGTGACTAACTCATTTATGGTTCAACTATTTATTGTGTCTTTGGACCTTCACATAAGAAGTGGAACACCTAATCCAGAGAAAGGGGATGGTGGCAGAAGGGAGGCTTGGTGACATTCACCCTCAAGAGGGAATGGAGTTACCACCAGACTACTCTAGGCACTGGACAACATGTAAGATTCTGGACTTCTTCTTGTGATGCCCATACTTGATGACTCATTTCTTGCTCTCTGCTTAGCAGTGAGGCCCTCCAACCTCCTTTTTAGAGACAGCAAGGAGGAGGTGGTGAGACTGAGTCCCACTTTGGGTCAAGTTCTGTAGAAAGAATATCTCAACAGTGAGAGCAGATGGCAGCTCTGGAAGGGACAAAAAGACAGTAGGGAATCTTGCGGGAAGAAAGGTAGATAAATGCAAACACAGTAGCTGTTTTCCTAGACCTCATACTCTGGGAGGTTCAACTGTAGAGGATTAGGCAGCAGAAAGTCCAGGGGTACCTCCCTGTGATGTAGGCACTTCATTCTGGAGCAAATAGAGCACAGAAGTAGATGTTTTCCAGGTGACTGATCACCAGCAGCTGCATATGCGATACTTAGGTGAAGCTTACTACCGTTTCTCAGCCTGCTAGACTTCTTTGCCCTGCAATGGATAAAAACTCATCAATTAGTGCAATGCAATTCAATCATTGACTGTGTTTGACAATGTATCCACCAATGAGTCAAGTGCTATTCTAGTGTGCAAAATACACTGAGTGGCCAGATTATTATGACACCTGACATTTTGTAGGCAAATTAGACGTACTCTGCATCGT